CATAATAAAAATAAAAGGAAAATAATAAAGCGTACATTTCAGTAGTTTTTAATATTGTCAGATGTTGTGCAATCATCATCGCTATCTAATTCCAGGACATTTCCATCACCCCAAAAAGAAACCCTGTACCTGTTAGTGGTCACCAACAATTTCCATGTACTTTTAAAAAGAAATCTACTAAAGTATATATTTTACATGCAATACAATTCATTAGTTTTAAGTGTTATAGTTTGATGAATTCTGACAAATGTACATACTTGTATAATCACCGCCACAATAAAAATATATAGAGTATTTGCATCATCCCCTGAAACACTCTTACATTTAAAGATGTGAAAGGCAGCAAAGGAAACTGAGACAGGGCAAGTAGGAAGGTAAAAAGAAGGCTGTGGAGTCCTGCAAGCCAAGAAAAGAAAGTATCTCAAGGATGAAAGAGTGACTGTGTCAAATGCTGCTGAGACATCAAAAAACTAAGGTGAAGCCTGAGATTCACAACAGATTTAACAATATGGAATCAATGGTGACCTTGAAAAAAACACCTACAGTGGAATGGTGAGGGGGGTGCAAACTTAACTGCAGTGGGTTCCAGAAGGAATGGGAGAAGAGTGTCTGGAGATAACAAGAAGAGACAACACCTTTAAGAAGTTTTGCTGTAAAGGGAAGGAAAAAATGGGGTAGGAGTAGTAACTGGAGGGGTATGTATTTGTATGCCAAAAAAACAGATACAGTAGAGAGGGAAAACGTGACGATGCAAGAAGGAGGGGGGAGAAGTGTTGATCTACATCTTTAAGTTGGAAAGAACAGACAGGATCAAGTGAACAAGAGGAGTCTATTCACCCAAAGTAAAGGAGAGAAGGCGGAGAGTAAAGGCGCAGAAGCAGATAGGTGGGAGCTTGCGGAAGCTGTCTTCTAATTTTTCTGTTTTCTGAGTGAATTGAGAAGCAAGGTCATCAGCTAAGAGTGAAGATGGGGGAAGAGGGTGTTGGAGGTTTAAGAAGGCAGGAAAAGACGTGGAATTGTCATCTGGGAGGTTGGTAAGCTTGAATGTAAAGTAAGACCAGTCAGTAAATAGCACTGTGTATTTTTCTCCATCAGTGTTCAGCAATGAGAGTAGATGGAGAGAGTTGGGTTTAAACAGGTTTTTGTAAAGGCCAGAGTAAGCAGAATGAAGAGAGAAGCAAAAAAGTTGGGAGTGTAGGAAAGATGGTGATTATAATAATTAGCCTATGATTGACCTTGGAATTTAAACTGGATAGGAATAAAATGAGGATGTAAGGGGGGAGTGAAAAAAACAAGAAAGGTGGTAGGATAAATATTCTTTTATTTATAGGACCTGATGGGTTCAAAGGATTGTTGGACTTGGGAGGACTCAAGAGAGTGAGCTGGAAAGACAGGATGGAGGGGTGGCAAAGAAAAGGAAGCTTGAAATTGAGATTATGGTGAATGAGAAGCTGAGCTGGGATGGAGGACAGGACCATCTAGGTGGCTATAATAATCACCAAGAATTGCTATAGGACTAGTAGTATTGGAGAGAGTCGCTGTGCCAGCAACTGAAAGATACAAAAATGAGAGGGAGTGACTACAGGCTGGGGAATGCTATAATAAGGAGCAGAGGTAGTATGCACAGTCTAATAACATGAGATTCCAAGATGGGGGTTTTCATAGAGATTGGAGGGAAAAGGGTCTAAAAGTAGCAATGAGGCACAAGGAAGACACTATTCCCACTCTGGGCTCAGTGGCCCAAGGGAAAGAGAGAAATCCATCACTTCTTAAGAGGGCTGCAGGAGAAGGAGTGTCTTAAAAGCCAGGCAGGTTTCAAGTACAATAAGAAGGCTGGAGAACAATCAGAGAAGATGCTGAGGTGACATGGTGTTTTGTTGATGATTGACCATAAGTACCAGAAACCATAATGGAATAGCTTAAAAATATACATTTTTGGCTTAGCACATCTCATACTAAATGCATACCTACAGTTTAATCTAGTGTTCACCCCAAAAATTAGCAATCTATTTCAGGGCTGGAGCAAAAGCCAAGTGAACATATTGAGAGACGATTTGTTTTCAACGTGGTTGTGATTCACCATAAATACTGACTTTTGAATTTAAACCTCTACGTCTCCCCCACCTTTCTACACACACACACACACACACACACACACACACGTGTGTGCAAGCACATAACCATACAGTGTCTTGAAGTATTATTTTTTCTGAGCCTGTACCTTGTAAGGATCCTCGGGATCTATCCAGGCCACGTGGAACATATGACGGATTTCCTCTGCCAGTCCAATTCTTGCTCCACTGTTGGCGGCTACAAAGATGCGTGGGATGCCCTCTGCCCTGGCAAGCTCAGATGCTCTGAGAAACAGCAAGTCCTCTTGGGGCCCAAAGGACCCAATTCGGTATGTGATGTCATTGCCAATAACAATGATATCTCGGCCTTCTGGATATTCGGGGCTCTTAAGGGTCATTTTCCAAGCTACCATGCCAATCTGCAAAAGCACAAACAAACAAATAAATACAAGCTTATTACAGGCAGATTTTTTTTTTTTCAGGTTCTTTGAAGGTCTATCAGATTGTGCCTGGACGCAGCCTTCATGTAAAGGTATGCGTTTGCATGCTAAAGAGCCAAGCTCCCTGCCGGAAACTAGAACAAACTTCTGGCATACTTCTCTAGATTGTGTTGAGAAAGGCTGGTTTACTATGCATTTCAGTTATCTCAGTTCCTTCTTTGGGCCTGCTCAAAGAAGAGGGAAAAAACAAAGTCTAAATGTGCTCAGGATACGTGTGGAAGAGTGCCATGGCACTGGGAATTAAATCTGCAACTCTTTTATCTTACTACCCTATCAACTAAGACACTAGTGCCATCCTTTTTGAGATTCTTTCCAAGGAACCTTCAACATATGAGAGGAGAGCAGGAAGAGAATTACGTCTCATAGATTGTATGACTTTTGTGATTCTGGGTCCTTTTGCTGTCCTCTAACATTTGGCAGGAATAATAGCAACAATCTTGACTGGTTTGTTGCAGGTAGCTTCCATTTCTTTAAGAATCGACTGTAGCTCAACATCGCATCCTTGTGAGCATCTCTTGTCACTGTTTCCCAGAACCAGAAAACCAGAGAAAGCCAGGCTGCGTGCACTATGATACATGTAAATGTCTGCTCTCTGTTCAGTAGCATCTGACCAACCACACAAATAAATGATATTGACTTAAAAGGCAGGGGTGACACGTTTCTTTCCAAACCCTCACGGCTTTCTCCTCTTTTAATCTCCTTCTATATGAGAGCTAGTCAATCCTTCCATTTGTTTATTCACTAGTTCCATTTCTTTTCTGTTCACTCACACCCCAGTTACAGCCGCCGTTTTTCATGTCTGCCTGTCTGTTTCCCTATACCTGGATAAGTAATGTTTTCCATTCTTTTTTCCCCCCGTTTGTTTCTGTCTCCCCTCCCTTCCCACCCCCACTACTTGCCCCCAAATACAAAGCCCACCAGATGAGCATTCCTGGTCCTGCCTAATGGAGCCCAGCCACATCTGCAGCCTTGGTCCCTCATCCCCAGGCTGCTGCATATCACCTCATTGGGGAGCCGGCCATCAAGAAGGGCCATTAACAGATGTAAATAGCAGCATCCCTGGAAAGCCACATGTATCACCCGGACTCAACCGGGCCAGTGATCATAAGCTCTGAGTACACATTCCTCAATCCAATTGCACATCCACTGTAATCAGGCTGGTTGAAGCTTTCCACACAGCTATTTGTGATTCTCGGCATTAAGAAATACATATACGAAATACCCACAGATAAATATAAGCTATTTAATATATTACACCATTGGCCAAATACAAATCAAAATGGATATAATACACAGAAAAAAATCTAATCACCTTCTGAGATAAGATATTACTCTATCTGCTCATTAAAGACAGAGAAAGGAGAAACACATCATCAAAAACAAAACAAAACAAAACAAAAACAAAACAGTACAGAGAAACTCCAAATATCAGGATAATTTTGGTCATGGTTTTTAAGAAGCTGGTTAATATAATGCCTGTGTGTGTGGGGAGAATATTTTACCGGCCTTCTCTCGTGGCCCTCTAACCCAACATCTCTTGTTTTTCAGGAAGAAAAAGCTATTTCCTGAAAATGCATTTGTAGTTAGGAAGATTGGGTTTTACACTGAATTTTATGATATATTAACCTTAGCCCACCTAGGCCAGAAGCAGCTTAAGACATAAGCCCTGAAGAATCTACTTCCACATTTGCATGCTAATGCAAACATTGTATCTATGTGGCACTGGGCAGGCAAATAATACTCTTATCTTTTGTTATTACCTGGGGACTCTGTGTCACTTGGGCAGTCAGTTCAGCAATTGGCCAGGTCATTATGCTTACAATATTGACTTCTAATTAGGTGTCAACACAGCAGCACCAAGAACACATGACTCTTTATCAATGTTCTTTCCAAAGTGTATTCCTCATCGACCGCCCCCCTCCCCCCTTAAAACGTACCATTACGGAATGGGAAGTGCTATTCTAGTCTGTATCGTGAGATTCCTTATTGGACAAGATTAAGTTTTGAGTAAGCATGATGGATAAACATCTAAGGAATCGTCTACTGTTCAATTTACATTAGAATTTAGATTTTATTGCTAATCAAATGATAGGTCATATAATGGTGAACATGGGCTTTAGGGTCAAACAAACCTGCATCCACATCCAGGCCCCTTCACTTATTAACTGTGCGACCTTGGGAAAATAACTTTATTGAGCTTCCATGGCCCCACATACAAAATTAATATTACCTATGCATTTGATGAACCTATGAGAAGTGGTAATCTATTATGTTAACTTCAACATACAAAGTTTGCCCCTTTCTCTCCTCTCAACCTTTCCAAATCTACCCATTCCAAAAAGGTTCATTCCAATTCCATTTCCTCAGTAAAGCTTCCCCTAGCCTAAAGTGACCCATTTCTTCTCTGATCTCCTACTAAGAACTTCATGGAGAGAATTTATTTGATAATTAATCATATACTGCCTAGGACCACTTTTAGCTTGCCAGCTTGAACCATTATATCATCTCTTCCAGTGCCTTAACAGGATCCCTACGCACAATATGGGAGTAATAAATATTTGCTGGTTCCATAGTCATTTCATTTTTTAAATGATACTTGGAAAACAGTCAACACCAAAGGCTTACAACATTGTCCGTGACTTATCTCTAGGGATCACAGAATACAAGTCCTGAACATGTCAACTATTTATTTTAAAAAATAACAAGATTAATGGCTACTATTAATTGAACATCTATGACATACTGTACTATACTAAATGCTGACAAATACTGATAGCAGTTAAGAGGTTAAGCTGGGGAGTGGCAGCCTGGCTTGGTCTAAGTCTCAGCTTTATACTAGTTATATAACCTTGGACCAGTCACTTAACCTCGAATAGCCTCAATTTTTTCAGTCATACAATGGGGGTAAATAGTGCCTTTCTGAAGGGATTGTTGTGAGGAAGACCACATGAAATTAGTACAGAGACTGGCTTATAAAATAATAGCTACTATTATTATTAATTCAAAAGCAGCTATTACTTTTGCCATGAAAAAACTTAAGGCAGAGAAATTAAGTAACTTGTCTTTACAGCTAGTATGGATTTTTTTTCTTTTAAAGATTTTATTGGGGAATTGGGGGAGGGGAACAGCGGCTGGGGGATCGGGGGAAGGGGAACAGACAAGTTGCTGTTGTTTTGCTCTTCAGTCTAGTTGTGGAGGATGTTGCTTCACTGGCCCAAGTTGGCACCATCATTGCACTCTTCCCGGGTGAGGCAGATCAGTCGCCGGCCTCTGGACGGCCGCTCACTGCGGCTGCTGACCGCTCACGCTGGCTGCCGGCTACACATGGTAGCACATGGCAACCCACTGCAGCGGGAGACTGCAGCCTACGCCATCTCCGGCGACCCACAGCAGCCCAGCTCCAGGTTGAGCTGTCGTTCAGCATCTTAGCTGTAGAGGGCAGTGTCACTGGCCCTCATATGTGGGATCCGAACCGGGGCCCTCTGGCATCCCACGCCAGGTCTTAACCAACGCACCACTCGGCCGGCCCGGATTATTTTTTAAAATAAGGTTTGCATAGTTTCCTTTTCTAGAGTAATTAAGGAAGTATGTTCCAGACCAGTGCCACTGTACTTAGCTGAAACAATATGAGAAGATAAATATCAATTATAATGTAAACATAAATGTCATTGACACCTAAATGCAATATGGTATCCTGGATTGGAACCTAGAACAGAAAAAGGACACTAGAAAAACTGGTGAAATCCAAAACAAAGTCTGTATTTTACTTAAGAGTACTGTAGCAATGTTAATTTCTTTGTTTTTATAATTATGCCATGGTTGTATATAATAAGATGTTAACATTAGGGGACTCTGGTTGGAGGGTATCTGGGAACTCTCTGTACTATCTTTGTAATTTTTCTGCAAATCTAAAATATTTTAAGACAAAAAGTTAAAATAATAAATGTGATGATAAAAACTTTTTTAAAGGGAAGTAAATTGACTAGTGAGGTCATTGCTAGTATTCTAGACAGGCAGCCTTGTAAAATGAAGGCTATGAATAGCATTTTAAAATACTCATGATGTAATACTAAATTTGAAGAACGGGGATAACAAAACTGAATGCATACCATAACATTGTGAAAGGCAAAATTCATTCAAAAATAACATTGTGTTGTGATTAAGGGCACAGACTCAGAAGACAGACTTGGAGACTGAATCTAATAGAATCTGACTCTTTGCCTGAAAAGAGATTCAGTCAGTTTTCTAGCCATATCACCTTAGGTAAGTTACTAACCTCTATGTGCCTCGGTTTCCTCATCAGTAAAATGGGGTAATAGTAATCTACTCTATCAAGTTTGTTGTGAGGATTAAATACATGGTAAACCTTAGAACAGTATCTGGCACATAGTAAGTACATAGCAAGTGTTACAACACACTCTAACTAAAAAATATGTTAGGGGAAAAAAAAACCCCAGAGATAAACACACACAGCAAAATGAGACGACAGTTATTTTAGGATGATGGAATTATGTGTTTTTTTTTTTCATTTTCCAAATTTTCTTTGTGTTTATATTGCATTGATAACTTAAAATTTTTATAAATTAAAAAAAAAGTTAATTGAGAAAAGACTACCAAATACCTCTTCATTGGGTGACAGGTATCTGGGAGCTTATATTATATTATTATCTCTACTTTAGTGTATATTTGAACATTTGCATAATAAAAACAATTTTTAAGGGAAAAAAGTCTCACCAGCCTAATGGATTTTTCATATTTTACAATAACTGACTCTATATTTCAGTCATAGTACAACAGTTCATATTCTTCTAATGTTAGAGAGATATAAACATATGAAAATTAAAAATCAAAACTCATCTCGGGCAGGCCGAGTGGCGCGTTGGTTAAGAGCTGGCTTGGGACGCCAGAGGACCCCGGTT